TAAGGTGTGGCTCGAGTGGGCGAACCATTAGCCTCTGGGTGTGTGCGAGAGGTGGAGGCCTTAGGGTCTCTGACTTGGTACATCGAACTTCTAGAAATAGGAGCTCGAGGTGATGAAGGACCATGTGGTGGCCTTGCGGCGATCCTCAGAAGCAAGGGCAATTGGCTTGCCTTTCGCAGAAGTGGGTAGGGCAGCCTTCCAGCGTACCCCAGCAATATGACTGGCAAGGGACTTGCCAGTAGTAGGGTGCATGTTGTGGGTGGTAGGCATGCTACTAATGCGAGGGGCCTTGTGGGAGGGTCCCCAAGGGCTAGCAAGCGGGGAGTCAGAGGCCTTAAAGTCCCTTCTCGTGCCCATCCACGAGAGAACCTGGGAACCGGATTGTGAGTCCTAGCTCAAGAGGAGTGTAGGGAATGAGACCTGAGAGGCTCGCTTCACTAGGACAGTCACAATGAAGGGATAAGAATATCCCCAACTCGGATGAATGGGTTGAACAACCCAGATGCCATGAAATGTGATGCAGAAATAAAAGATGAAATTAATCAAACAAGAGCGAACTGAAGGAGGGGTAGTAAGTCCCCAGTGGAGTCGCCAATCTGGTTATGTGCCTCGATCTCACCCTTCGGATGTAGATGATCTGGCAGCACGTATCTCGGGTTTTAAGGAACCCGGGATTTGAGATCGCTTTCTCAGGAACCTTGCTCAAGAGTAAGGGCAGGTATACCAACCGACGAGAGAGGAATTTAAGGTGGGTTCGAGACTTACTCGGGCTGGCTCGCTTCAACTGGTTTGGATTCGTCTCCCTTGACCTGTGATCATCTTGTTTTCTGCACTGTATTAACATGGTTAACTTTCAAGATAAGTGGGCCAAAGGGACCCACCCTTGTCTTAGGGCAATGTACATCATATGTGAGGATGATGGAGTGGAAGGTTCAAATAGAGATAGAAAAGAGAAGAAAACTTGATGAAAGGACGAGACTAGCATGATAGCTGGACAGTGACCAACTCGGAGTGGTAGTAAGATGGGTATGGTACTCAGAACCAGCACGACGACAATATTGCTCGACAGCCAGACTGCTACAACAGTGCTAGACTGGGTCTACCCTCAGCCAAGTGAGAATAAAAGAGGATGGAAAGAAGGTGTGAGATGGCGAAGAAATGAGGTCCCAACAACGCTAAGCCTCACCACCCTCAGCCGTGGAGTAGAAGTATCACAGCCCTTGGACTGCGCTAGACACTACTGCTCACAGTGAACTACAGGCGACGTTAGGCATGGCCATTTAGCAACACGTGAAGGCAGCACACCCCTGCTGGCGGTGATAGCCTCTTATGAAGCACACAGCGATAACCCATCGTGACGCGCACGGTGATAGTTCCTTCTGAGCCACGCGACGATAGGCATGGGAAGTAAGAAAGAGGCTTGCGGACGGCGATAGGCGTCGAGCACATTAAAGGGGCTCACGAATGGCGATAAGCATCGAGCGTACGAAGAAAGCTCACGGACAACGATAAGCCCTGAGCGCACGAAGAAAGCTTGGGGATGGCGATAATTGTTGCCGCGACGCTTCGCGGGTGGCGATAGACATAGGGTGTAAGAGAGGAGCTTGCACACAACGATAGTTATTGCCACGACCCTTCACGGGCAGCGATAGGCATCGACGTCTACGATAAGCACGCAAAAGGATGAGATCCCTACGGGCGGCGATAGGCTTTGCCATCTGTACTGCTCATTGAGGTGTCAAGAACACATTTTCGGACGGCAATGAGTAGTGTCATCTGTAAACCTCGTTGAGAGACAGAGACGAACGAAAAGTAGGGGAAAGAAGCTCGCGCATGGCACTGCCATCACTATGCGCGACCTGTGAAACCACAGGAAAAGGAAAAAATGAAAAGAAAGAGGCATGCACGACACTGCCACTGGCCTCTAAGAGAAGCTCAGATGAAAAAGAACAAACAGAAGAAGAGAGAGAAAAAGAAAGAGCATAGGAGCAGAAAAGAACATAAAAGAAAAGTAGAGAGAGAAAGATTTACCTTGAGCCTAAGGGTATCGCACAAAAGTTTCTTTCTCCTTCTCTCTCTCTCTCACAGCATGACCCAACAATAAGATGAAATAATAATTTTTACTAAGCAAAGTTCTCTTTTTACTAAAGGTTTCAAGGGTTTGAGTACAATGATAGTACATGATATATATATAGTTGTGCACAAACATGGGTGGATTGATTAAAATTAATCCTAATTGCTGAAAATTAAGATTAAATTGAATTAAATAAAATAAGAAAATAGGGTGCAAAATGACAGATTTGCCCCTTCCTAACAATTCGTGGAATTCCAAAAGAGTCCCTGATGCTGTCCTAGAACTTGAGTGATCTTTCGTGGATGATCCCTTTGATTCCCGTTTGATCGAAAGATGATTGTTTTCTTGTAGGGCTCGGCATGGCAATCGATTTGGTACCAACTTCGAGCCATGGATCGTGTTTTTAGGCCATGATCGTGAGACTTGAAATTTAGATGATACTTGCAAACTTCGGATCGTTAGTGTGGTCGTTCCTTGATGCTTTTTTGTGATTTCTTCGTTGGATCACACTGAGCATGCTGTCATGATTGCGTGGCCACAAATGTAACTCGATTTCATGACGAGATGAGGAGTTTGCAACTTTATAATTTTAGCCGGAATATGGAATTCCAGCACAGGAATTTACAGTCACTTCACTGGCTTCGTGTGTGAAATCTGACCGTTCATTATGTACGGGGTTCAGGCCAGTGATAGCCCTAGACTTTACGCACACGATGGAATTGTTCTTGCGTCAATCTAATGCATGAACTTCATGATTCGGCCGCTCGAGCAAGGCATGTTGCTATTGATTTTCTTGCAACTTTCGTCATGGATTAGCAACTTCTCTCTAGCTTTTCTTCGCACTCGAGAGTCTTCACGGGTCGTGCCACATATCAAACACTCGTCTCAATGAGATGAACACGCACACAAAATTTGAGTGCGATCCGATTCGGGACAAGGGAGAAATAGCGCCTGCAAGTCACTATTCGTGACTACTCCTTTAATGGAATTTAGTTGCAGAGTGGCCACACAGGAATAGCGTGTGACTCCTCCTGGTTTGATGTTTCGCCTATAACTTCTTCTTGGAGCGTCTGTTTAAGCTAAAACTTTCTCTTGGGGCTTTTCAACCGTTCTAGATCTAGTGGTGATAGTCTCACGGCCGTTTGATTCTCCAAAGGTACGGTTGTAGTTATAGGGGTCCATTTCAAGGTGTTAGAGGTTGATTCTGCCGAAATTGTTTCTTACTCTGCACTGCCTTAGACATGTCGGAATGCGACAAAACTTGGCAGGAGGCTTTTTGGAGTCTTTAGAAAGATCTTGGCCAGTTTTGAGGCCATTCTGAGACTATCAAAATTTCTGCTGTTTGTAAGGCTTTATTGACCAGTTTATCCCTTTTATTCCGTATCGGGGACTCATGGTGCTGCAAAATATCTTCAAACAAAGGCGAAACCTGGTGGTCATGCGACAAGATAAGTATGGTAAGATGGAAGATTTTGTCGAATGTTCTTAAGATTTTATGGCTAAATACATGGCTTCACAAGTGGATGTTGTCCACTTCTATTTCTCGACGGGACATCACTGAAGGTACAAGACCTTGGAACTTTACTTGCTGCCAACTCACTCGACGGGAAAGAACAAATGTTTCCTGCTGCATTTTCTATTGTGGATGCCGAAAGTACCGACAACTAGGTATGGCTTTTGGAATCTCTAAAGATTGCTATTGGGACAAATCGTGAAACTTTTTTGTCTGATAGACACTCTGGCCTAGTTGATACTATCTATCAAGTTTTTGAGAATGCTCATCATGCCTTCTGTAAGTGTCATTTAGTGGAGAATTTCGAGAAAGAATTAAAATACATACCTAATGATATTAAGAACGCAGTTGTAAAATACTTTGTCGGAGCAAGTAGAGCATACAGGCCGCAAGAGTAATTTGAAAGATGAATGAAATTAGGTCAATTTCTGAGGACGCATTCAAGTGGTTCATGGAAGCATCGCCAAACCATTGGGTCACGTCACCTTCAAGGGTAAACGATATAATCAAGTAACAACCAATGTGGCTGAGTCATATAAAAAGTGGATTCTAGAAGCACAAGATATGTTAATTCTCCAGTGCATTGACTTGACTAGAAGACAAATCATGAAACTAATGGCCACCAGCAGCTTGGAAGCTGGAACCAGACTACAACACTTACCATGCATGCGTAAAACGAACTCAGAAAGATCATACAACAATCCCTTTCCATTAGCGTCACTGTATCAAGTGGAGCAGTATTTGAAGTAAGGGGTGATCACATGAATTATAAGGTAGTTATAATTACACGAGAATGTGAATGCCAGGGTTCGCAAATAACCGGCTTGCCCTGCAAACATACTTGTAAAAGTCTTCAATGGATGAATAGGGATCTCGTTGACTATTGTGAAGACTATTTCATGGTTACAAAGTTTTGTGAAACATATTCCAAACCTATCATGTCAGTTACCTTGATCGATCTATCTGGGCATATACATCGACAACTTCTTTCAAATAGAATAAGAGTACTTCCACCTCACTCAAGATGACCCCCTGACCGACCTAAAAAGAAACGCATTGAGTCACAGGAAGTATCAGTACGACCTATTCACTGTAGTAGGTGCAAAGGAACTGGTCACAACAGGACAATTTGTAAAGCACCCACTTGAAGGCATATTTTTTAGTTATCTTGATTGTTCTGTCTTTTTAAATTGTAGCATCCACTTGTGGGAAATTTTGTCAGTACATATATTGGATATGCCACTTTCGTCTCTCTTTTTTATTGGATATGCTAGTGATTTGTTTATAGTGTTTGTTCCAGTTTAATTCATTTCGTGGGATTAGCACACATATATTGGATATGTCACTGTTCTATCTATTTTTTTATTGGATATGCTACTTGTGGTTAATTTTTTATGCCAATTATGAAAATAGAATTAGCAATGCAAGACCCGAAACAACTAAGAGGCACAGGGGAGCCATCGACTTCCTCAAGTCAAAGGCAAGAGGTATGATTGTTTATTTGTTTTAGTTAATGATTTACATTAATTAGGTATTTCTCATGTTATTGACTATTACAATTTCTTGTTATTTTTCATTTTAGGAGGAAAATATACTTCGTATTGACGAATCAACTCCAGCCCTAGTAAAATGGAAGATCGATCAACAACAAGTACCTCTAATTCAAAAGACCAAGTTGAGCCCATTGATGGATGTTGGGGTATCGCATATCGATTGTAATCTAGTGAGGGCATTTATAGGAAAATGGTGCAAGAACACGAATACTGCATTTCTAAGCATCGGTGAAATGGCTTCAAACCTATACGATGTGTGGTAGACATTAAGGATACCCGTGACATGTGAACCTATAATCTGCATCAGGCCTGAAGACTATGTTGCTTTCGTCAAGGAGTATATGGGAGATTGCCCTAAGGATGTCACCCCGATACGTCTAAAACATACATGGTTGATGAGTCGATTAGGCCAACTGCCAAAAAAGCCGACCAAATTACAACTCATGCAACACATATGAGCATATCTCTTTTATTTAGTCGATACAACTATATTTGTCGACTCATCTAAAGGATCGACGCTTTCAATATACTTGCAATTGTTTTGAGATTTTGATGAGGCAGGGAAATGTGCATGGGGTGTTGCGGCACTTGCTTTCTTGTATCGTTCGTTGTCTAACGTCACCGGTGGGGAAAATAATCATTTTAGTGGGTCAGCAACCTTACTACAGGTATTTCTCTCTCTTTATTATTAAATTTTAGAATATTTCAATTTCTCACTATCTTTGGCTTCTTACTTTTTACTTTTTCCACAGTGTTAGATCTATGAGCATTATTTAGCTCTAGCCATCAAGTTTACATTGGTTATAAACCCAGAAATGACTAAGGCTTGCATGTGGAAGAAACAAACACACCACAAAAATATCTCATTTGATGGCATCTCGTTTGATATGGTTAGTAATTGGCTGTTGTGCTTATAATCTAGTAGATAATGAACCTGTGCTTATAATCTAATAGGAATGCCTTGCCTTGTTTTTAATATCTCATGCTTATTTTTGTAGGTGACCTGGCAACCGTATGAGGAGTCGCATGAAATTGCAGAATACTTCATCTGTCGATCATACCTCATCGGTTTCAACATTGTAGAGCATTATATGTTCGATCGCGTGTTGCGACAATTTGGGAAGTTGCAAGGCATTCCTGTTATGCCACCCAAGTGGGATAGGAGGGAGAAGATTGGTTTACACCACTTCTTGGACTATAGAATTGGGTAGATAGATAAAAGATTGAAAACAACGAGAACGTAATGTTGTTAAGGTAGTTGTAGATAAATCTGGTGGGGTACTTACATAAAAGTACATTGCCTGGTGCAACATGTTTATGCAAAGAAAAACCCCATTTTCCCCCTCGTCGCAGTCACAATCTCATGTACGAACCTCCGGAGGCCAATCCCATGTACAAACCTTTGCAGGCCAATCCCAGGATAGTAGATTGGTATACTATTTATTATATGTTTATTCTACACGCGTAGTGACATACATGTATAGAGTTACTACAAGATGCACTTAATAATGAAGTATTAGCAGGGAAATCCAGGCGTTATGTACAGGTGGCTTATGATTCGCTGTTGAATAGCACTTATGTAGAGACAGGTACCAAGGAGACATCGCGGACTATGGGTGGAGAAGTGCAAAGTGAAAGTGAGGATGATGATAGTGAAAGAGAAGAAGACGATGATAACAGAGAAGAGGATGATGATGGAGAAGATAATGATGATGGAGAACAAGATGGTGAAGGCAACGCTAATAGTGACAGCAGTGTCAAAAAATCGGTCGGTTAGCTTGCTACCAATGGGGTGGCGATTCCGATGAGGTTCGGTTTTAGTGTACTAGTAAAAAAACACATTGTCCTGAAAAAATCGGCTAAAAAACTAGTCGGTCCGGTTTGGCGTTATATCGGGTGATATAACAAAATAATGTGGCCAAAAAAAATAACGGCCATTATTTGTAACAGTGCACGTTATTTGGGCAGAACCCGTGATGCGCCATTTTTTGCAGCTTTTTGTTGCTTTTTCTTGCCATTTTTTTTTTTTTTGCTCGATTATTGTACTATACCTTCAAATCCTCTATAAATCCATCAATATTGAATCAAAACTCACAGATTAGACCGATTTTGGAAAAGTTTTGGTGTATTTTTTGGTGTTCATCAGTTTTTTTATGAAAAATCTTCCATTCATTTGATTTTGGCCCGGTTTTTCAGTTTTTTTCGATAAAAAGTTGAGGATTTTAATGATCACAGAAATACATATATTTCAAGACTTCTGATTTCATTGAAATGGAGAGATTTGCGGCTCAATTTTGAGATTGAAGCAGACAAGGTAAGCCCGAACCCAATTTTTTTTAATTTTTTTCTTAATTTTACAGCTTTTTTTAGGATTTTTCAGACAATATTTGACTAGTATTATTTATTGCAATAAATAAAAGAATTATTTTTTTAACAACAAAAAAAAATTTGGAGCTCGATTTTAGGAATTTAGGGGTTTTTGGAGCTCGATTTTAAGAATTTAGGGTTTTTTTGTTTATAATATTATATAATATATATATTTATAAAAATATGTTTTTTGTGATGAATATAAGAATATATATACACAATATTTGTGTGAGATTATTGATTCTATAAAATAAATGAACGAATTTTAGAACAAAAACAAAATTTTGGAGGTCAATTTTGGGGATTTTCGGGATTTTCGGGATTTTAGGGTTTATTGAAAATAAAATAAAATTGGTATTTTTTTGTGAGGATTGTTTTTAATGTTATATAATATATATATTTACAAAAATATGTTCTTTGTGATGAATATGAGAATATATATGAACAATATTTGTGTGAGATTATTGATTGCATAAAATAAATGAACGAATTTTAGAACAAAAATAATAATTTGGCGGTCGATTTTGGGGATTTTCAGGATTTTAGGGTTTATTGAATGAAAAATAAATTTGATATCCTTTTTGTGAGAATTGTATTTAATGTTATATAATATATATATATATATATATATATATATATTCAAATAAAAAAAAATTGTATTCCAAGTATTCTTTAAATTTTAGGGAGACATTTTTTATGAATGATTTGATTTTGTGAAGTCATTTTGATTCAAAAAACACTCAATATTCCAACTATTCTTTTAAGTATCGAACTACATGTTGGCTATATTTCATTATGCAATTGTGTCATAAAGCCTTAAGATTTTATATCTTTAT